TCTTCAATAAATGATCAAGTAATATGAAAAAGTGCAAGGAAATAGTATTGAATAATATATTTGTCATTTGACATTGACAATTGTCATTGTTTTCAACAAGCGGTGCTCAGAAAACTGGGAAGCTACATGCACAAATAACAACAAATAAAAAAAACAACCCAGACCTCATTTTAATGCCATGCACAAAAGTCATATCAAAATATATTAAAGACCTTGATATCAGATGAGGTCTCTTTTTGAACTTTGCAGCCCTTTCTCCCCGCTCTGTGAAGTAGAATTTTGCACGAAGGAGACGGTGGTCCGATCCCGTTCGAAATTTTGGGACAACAGCGACATCAGTCAGGCAAAACCGTCGATTGAATATGATGTGGTCTATTTCGTTGTGGAATCGTCCACCGGGAGACTCCCATGTCCATCGTTTAGATTCTGCCTTCTGGAACTGTGAGTTACCATGAATGGTCTTGGTCGACATGATGAACTCAGACAGTCTCTCACCCTGTTCGTTCCATTCTAGGCCATGGGTCCTGATGTGAAGTTCTTCAGCTCATCTTCTCGGTCCTATCTTGGCATTAAAATAACCCACAATGATCTTGTAGAAGGTGTGGTCTTCTTTATAGAACTTCTCTAGCTCCATGTAGAACTTCTCGATTTCTCTTTCATCATAATGAGATGTTGGTGCATAGACAACGAAGATAGAAACTGCAGGCAGTGAGCCACATCTATTCAAATGTAAACGTCCGATTCGGGTTGTTAGGCTTTCGAATGAATCAATGCTCTTGGCCAAGTTTGTGTTGACAAGGACACCGACGCCTCCAACGCCTCTTTTATCGCATGTTCCGAGGAACAATTCTTCTCCGGTGTCGAAAACGGCATGGTGAGATTCGTGCCTTCTTGTCTCGGTCAGACCAATGATGTCGTACTTGATCATTCGCGCTTGTACCATCAGGTCCTCGATGGATGCATCTGATGCTAGCGTACGTGCATTGAAAGTACAGACGATCATTTTTGTCTTCCTTCGTTGTGGCAGCCTAGGTCGGCCTTGAGATTTTGTCGGCCTCTCCTTTCTCATCCTTCTCAGTGCTGCCATGTCGGTGAAGCCTTCAGGGTCAGGTGAATGAGACCAGTTGTAGTTACTGGTTTTGGCATATCGAATACACAGCGGATAGCTTGCCAGGCTCTTCCGTGCGGGCAGAATACTCTCGGTAGCTTGCCAGTCTTTCCGAGAGGGATAGAGGCTTTTGGGGTGACCTCCAATCACCCTTGTAGGTGTTACCATATTTGAACCCTATCAAATATGGTACGACAATTCCAGAAGATGGGTATTTAGTGTCTTATGACAAGCGGCCGCGCGGGTCCGGAAAGCGTCCTGGAGTGTGGCGACGGCTGGGTAGTGGAAGTAGTTGCGGCAACATGGGAAGATGCCATTGTTGACAACATTGACAAGGAATACGATCGACTGGTTCAGCACCTCCATGAATGTGCGAGGAACGCCAAGAGAGAGATAGCCACAAAAAGTCGCCTATCTTCGAAAACTCTTGAGCTAATTCGCCAGCGTGGTTTGGCGCATGCCTCAGGCAACCGCAAGCTAACGTCCGAGCTTGCAAAGCAGTGCAGAGATGCGATCAAGGAAGACCTCAAAGAGAGAAGAGCAGAAGTACTGATAGATGCGGCAGAAGCCAGGAAAAGTATTCGTAACGCCCGCCTGTCCTTCGCCAACTATAAGACCAAGATGACTGCCCTCCGACGTCCTGATGGATCCATCACATCCTCCAGAACGGCAATGGAGAAGATTATCCATGACTTCTACTCAAATCTCTTCGATAGCCCTGTCCACTTGCTGACATACCAAATTCCACAGGATGGGTATGTCGTTCCCAACGTTCTCCCTTCCGAAATCCGACACGCCATTTCGTCGGTAAAGAAACAAACAGCACCCGGCCCAGACAAGGTCAGACCTGAACACCTGAAGAACCTGCCGTCAGTACTCATCAATACACTGGCTCGGCTCTTCACTCGTTACCTGTCTGAATGCGAGGTTCCGTCCCAATGGAAAACCAGCAGGACCGTACTACTGTTCAAGAAGGGAGACATCCATGACATTGGCAACTATCGCCCGATCTGCCTATTGTCTGTCATCTACAAGTTGTTCACTCAAGTCATCCTGAATAGGATTGGCAGCACACTAGATGAAGGACAACCATGCGAGCAAGCAGGGTTCCGCAAAGGATTCAGCACCATCGACCATATCCACACGGTAACCAAGCTCATTGAGGTTTCTCGGGAGTTCAAGATGCCGCTCTGCTTAACGTTCATTGATTTAAAGAAGGCCTTTGATTCTGTTGAGACGGAAGCGGTCATTGAAGCCCTAGCCAATCAGGGCATTCAAGCCCAATACATCAGGATCCTCCGTGAGCTGTATTGCGGATTCACTACCAGGATCTCACCATTCTACAAAGAAGTGATCGTTGATGTCAAGAGAGGGGTGCGGCAGGGTGATACCATTTCACCGAAACTCTTCAGTGCCACCCTCGAGAACATCATGCGACGACTGGAATGGGAAGGAATGGGAGTGAAGATAGATGGTCGGCAACTACACCACCTCCGCTTTGCTGATGACATTGTTTTAATAACACCAAACATCAGCCAAGCGGCACAAATGCTGGCCGACTTTGACCGTGAGTGTGGAAAGCTAGGACTACAGCTGAATCTTACGAAGACAATGTTTATGAGAAACAGCCTTGTTCCTGACGCCCCATTCGCTCTCAATGGAACGACCAACTCCGAATGCAACAGCTATGTGTACCTAGGTCGAGAGGTCAACATGAGAAATGACCTGGCACCCGAGCTGCGCAGGAGGAAGAGAGCGACTTGGAACGCCTTCAAGAACGTCGAAGAAATAGCTAAGAGGACGAAGAACCTCCGGCTCCGGGCACATCTCTTTGATTCCACTGTTCTTCCTGCATTAACATATGCCTCAGAGACCTGGGCCCTACGCAAACAAGATGAGAACGCCATTCAGGTCTCCCAAAGAAGAATAGAAAGAGCTATGCTTGGAATATCACGTTTCACTCAAATGAGAGAACGAATCCGGAGTTCTGACATCCGTCGACGATCAAGGATCAGGGACGCTGTCTCATATGCCAAGGTGTCGAAAATCAGATGGGCTGGTCACGTAATGAGATTTAAAGACGACCGTTGGACTAGAGCTGTTACTGATTGGATTCCACGGGATGTCAAGAGACTGCGTGGCCGCCCACCTACCAGATGGTCAGACTTCTTTGTCAAGATCATGAACGATCGGTTTGAGGCCCTCCATGTTCCCGGAGCGAAGAGATGCCATTGGGCTACACTAGCACGCGACAGGGACAAATGGAGATGTTACTGGCGCCCGCTCGAGCAAATCGACGACTAACGGGAAGTTAAGTGATCAAGTGTAAGTGATATCAGATATGAATCCATAAAAGTACATAGTGGAATATGTAGGCAGAACTCTCCATGACACTGAAGATGAAGACATCTTTAAGGATGAAACACCAATGACCAAGCAAGTGGAACCAAAGATTAACAATGACACTACATTGAACAAAGAAGCTTCTGCTCTCAAAGGAAATAACCAGAATACAAAGATATCCCACGAAATGGGAAAAATTATTTACCCACCACCCATCTGATAAGGGGTGAATGTCATAGCTATATAAGGCACTGGTAGAATTTTGCAAGAAACAAACACAAATCCTATAAAAAAATGGGGAGAAGAAAGGAATATAACTCCCTCAAAGAAAATATACAAATAACTAAAAGGAACATGAAAAAATGCTCCATATCACTAATCATTAGGGAGATGCAAATAAAAATCAAAATTCATTGGTGGCAACCCCCCCCCAAAAAGGGGATAAAAAACAATATAATATGAGAAAAATATCAAAGACAGTAAGAAACAAGCGCCAGGAGGACTGGTCCATGGTCAGAAGTTTGGCACAATTTGTGTGGGAGTGCAAGTAGGACAGAGAAGGGACCACTATGACAGTGGTAATTGTAAGTGATCACTCTGGACAAGAACTGAGTGCTGAACAGAGGTACAGCGACACACAGTATTGCAAACCATAGTGTCTAAAATAGAATAAAATAGACAAAATGGATAGAGTGAGAGAATGGGAGGGAGAGTGAGAGAGAGGGAGGGAGAAAATGTGTGTGAGAGAGAGAGAAGGAGGGAGGGAGGGAGAGAGAGAATGAGAGGAAGAGAGAAAAAGAGAGAGGGAGTGAGAGAGAGAAAAAGAGAGAGAAAAGAAAAGTATCTGCCATTGATGCATGATGAGGGGCAAGGCAGGAGGGAAAGTGGAGACAATAGTGACTGAAAATGTACACTGAGGAAGGAACTCGTATTGAACATTGTATGAACAACTTTGTAACTGTGCATCTCATAGTGATTAAATAAAAAAAAACTACATTCAATTCAAACATATTACCAAACATAACTTTCTAGTAGGCTTTAACCATAAGCAGTGTCAACTCAACTAGAGATTCTGTAATTTCATCATTTTGTTCAGCAGTCACTTTTTCCATTTTTGGGTCACACCATGTGGTTCTGGGGCTTTTCTTGGTTTTGTGCTCAAGGAAAACTCTTGGAGGTGCTTTGGGACCACACATTGTGTAAGAATTTGAATCTTGGTAGGTGAAGTGTGAGGAAAGCCTCTTGACCCTTATTATCCCTCTGGCCTACTTTGTTCAATAGTAATTTTATTTCATATAGCACCAAGCAAAAAGAGATTCCAGTCAATGTTAAATTATTAGAGGACTGATTATGTGTTGAATTCCTTAAAAGTCAGTTTATAAGGATTATTTAGGACTTTACATGAGGACATACTGTACTTTACTTAAAGTAAAAGTATTGTGTAATCCAGGATACCTATTATTTCCTTTGTCGTACTGATTTTTTTCATTAAAGTTGATTATTGTAATTTCACATTAACACCTTTATTGTTCTATCTCAACATTTCTAGGTTGGACTCAGTACTGGCATTAATAGTCCTTGGGGAGGCTGCAAAATTAAACATGGCCTGCTTGAAAGCTTTCCTGGACTTAATGAGAGATTTTCTTCCCAGCATTAACTCTATTCAGAATCAGGTAACTATATTGCTAATTTAGCTTATTAAAATACCTCAACAAAAGCAAAAACATTGGGGAGGGCATTCAGAAGTTTTTTTTTCCTGGCACACTTGTTTGTACTCAGAGCTTACAACTAGTGTTGCACTCAAGGATCACTCTTTATTTTATTTTTTTGAGTCACACCCATTGATGCACAGGGGTTGCTCCTGGCTCATGAATTTAGGAATTACTCCTGGTGGTACTTGGGGAACCATATGGGATGCTGGGAATCAAACCCAGGTCGGCCATGTGCAATACAAACACCCTACCCGCTGTGCTATCACTTCAGCCCCCTCAAGTATCGCTCTCCGTCATGCCCAGAGAAACCATATGTGGTGCACAGCCCAGAAACAATTTTTAAAATATTATTTACATTGGATATCTGATATGTATTATCATGAGTATAAATGTGAATAGTAACTTTAATTTAGCATAGAATCAAGTGCATATTTAATTATATCCTGGTATCAATGAACACATACATAGAAACAAAGTTTATATATACATACGTAGACACATAAAAATACATAAAATAACTAAATTTGTTTTTAAATTTTTATTTTTTTTGTATGTGGGACAGAAGGAATGAGTGGGTAAACATTAGCACAGCCACTACAGCAGTGGAGGGCAAAGAAACTGAAGAGGCCTCAGCCTGCGGCTGGTTTCAGAAACCCTCAGTGTACAGTAAGGAAGCGAAGTGAACCGGGGGCGGGGTAGGGGGGTCGCAGTGACAACCCCCTACCCGGGCTTTCAGATATCCAACAGCATAGGGAATAGTTTAAGAGCCAGAAAAGAGTTGTAAAAGACAGAAATATTCTCAGGCTGTCTGGGAAGCACCTCACACCCACGTGAAGCTTCTGACACTACATACCACCGACCAATTAAAAAATTAGTACCCTCGCCTGGTCCCACCTACGTCTTTGCTCAGGACAAAATCTGATCCAAGGTTTTCTGGACTCTGGAAAACCAAAAGTTGAAATCAAGAACTGAAGCAAAGAGGTGATGGTGAAGCACTGGGAACTATAGAAACAGAACCTCACAGTTGTCAGAGCACCACAATTGCAATACTGACATATAAAAGCCCACCGAACTCATTGATTCCAGAGCATTATCCCGAAGGCTCTGACAACAACAACAAACTCTGTATACAACTTGTAGGACAACGACTTTAAACTGTATCTGATGGAGATGTCTAATGAGCTGCAAGAAATTCAATGAAGCACAGTATAGTATGAGAAGGTTAATGAGCAATCAGAAATGGAAACTGACCATACTGGACAGTGCAGTGTGTTTGGACCCCCAGGCTGCATTCCCGAAGTGGCATTGCTGGGTCATATAAAAACTCAATTTATAGCTTTATGAGGAATGCTTACATTGTTCTACATAAAAGCTGGGCTATTTGTCGCTCCCACCAACAATGAAGGAGAGTCCCTTTCTCCTCACTTTCATGCAAGTACTGGTTGCTCTTGTTCTTTTTGATGTGTGACAGTCTCTGTAGTGTGAGATGGTATCTTATTGTTCTGAATTGCATCTCCCTGATGATTAGTGATGTAGGTCATTTTTTATATGCCTTATGGCCATTTGTATTTCTTCTTTGAGGAAATTTCTGTTCATTTCTTCTCCCAATTTGTTTGATGGGGTTGGATTATTTTCTTGCAAAGATCGACCAGTGCTTGTATATCATGGATATTAACACCTTTTATGGGCATTGGATAAATATTTTGTCCCTATCTGTGGGCTATCTTTTTATCTTTGTCACTGATTCTTTTGAGGTTCAGAAGCTTCTTAGTTTAATGTAGTCCCATTTGTTTATCTTCACTTCCACTTGCTTGATCAGTGATGTTTCATCTTTGAAGAGGCCTTTAGCTTTATCCCACCCACATTTTCCTACATGATCCTTATAGATTCAGGTCTCATATTGGGATATTTAATCCATTTTGATCAGACTTTTGTGCCTGGTGTTAGGAAGAGGTTGGAGTTCATTTTTAGCATGTAATGTCCAGTTTCCCCAGAACCACTTGTTGAAGAGGTTTTTATTGCTCCATTTCACATTTCTTGCTCCTTTATCAAAGACTAGGTCACCCTATATTTGAGAGTCAGTTCCAAGATATTTAACTCTTTTCCATTGATTTGGGGGTCTGTCTTTATTTCAACACCATGCTGTTTTAATTACTACTGCTTTGCAGTACAGTTTGAAATTGGGGAAGGTGACGCCACTCATCTTCTTTTTCCCAAGTATTACTTTAGTTATTCATGGGGGATTGTTTTATATGAATTTCAGGATTCTTTGAACTAGTTCTTTGAAAATACCACGGACATCCTTATAGAGACTGCATTAAATTTATATAATGCCATTTTTTGCTATCGGTCCTTTACCATTTTAGTTAAACTGATTCTGAGGTACTTTATTTTCTGAGGCATGATTGTGAATGGTTTTGTCTTTCTAATTTATCTCTCTTCTATTTCATTGTTTGTGTATAGAAAAGCCATGGACTTCTGAGTATAGATTTATAATTGTCACTCGACTATACAAATCTATTGTTTCTTGGAGCTTTTTTGTTTAGTTTTTAGAATTCTCTAAATATAGTATTATGTCATCTGCAAATAGTGAGAGCTTAACTTCATTCTTTCTATTTGGATGCCCTTAATATCTTTTTCTTCCTTAACTGCTATGGCAAGTACTTCCAGTACTATTTTGAACAGAAGTGGTGAGAGTGGGCATCCTTGTCTTGTTCCTGATATTAGGGAGAAAGCTTTTGGCTTTTTCCCATTGAGAATAATGCTTGCCGTGGGCTTGTGGTAAATGACTTTGAATATAATGAGGAAAATTCCTTCAATTCCCATTTTGTTGAGAGTTTTTATCATGAACAGATGCTAGACATTTTCAAATGCTTTTTCTGCACCTAAAGTTACAATCATATGGTTTTGTACTTTCTTTTATTGATATGGTGTATACTATGTTGATTGACTTGAGAACTGTTAAACCACCCTGCATACCCAGGATGAATCCCACTTGGTCATGGTGTATGATCTTTTGGATTTGTCATTGGATTCTATTTGCGAGTACTTTGTTGAGTATCTTTGCATCTGTGTTTATCAGGGTTATCAGTCTGTAGTTTTCTTTTTCTGTGGTATCACTCTCTGCTTTGGGTATCAGGCTGATGAGTGCTTCATAGAAACTAGGACTGTTTCTGTTTCTCCAATTTCCTGGAAAAGCTTGAAGAGAATTGGAAGTACATTCTCTTTAAATGTTTGAAAAAAACTCACTAGTGAATCCATGTGGGCCTGGGCTTATAATTTTGGGAAGACTTTGAATTACCATTTCAATTTTGTCAATGATGATAGGTCTGTTCAGGTATTCCAATTGTTCTATGTTCAGACTTGAGAGGTTAGAGCAGTTCAGAAATTTATTTCTTCAAAGTTCTCTTGTTTCATGCCATAGAGATTTTCAAAGTAATTTCTGATAATCTGTGGTTTCTGTTGTGATGCTCCCCCTTCCATTCTTGATTCAGTTTATTAGGGTTCTATCTCTCTCTTTCTTTGTGAGCCTTGCTAGTGGATTATAAATTTTATTTACTTTTTTCAAAGAACTAGCTCTTGATTTCATTGATCTTTGCATTTTTTATTCCATCTCATTAATTTCTTCTCTGAGTTTTATTATTCTTTCTTTCTTCTTGTTAGTTCCTTTTGTTAGTCATTTTCTAAGATTTTAAACTGTTGAAGTCAAGTTGTTTATATGTGCCCTTTTTTCCTTTGTGATGAATACTTGCAGAGCAGTAAACGTTAACATGTTTTTGCTGTGTCCCACAGGTTCTGGTAGCTTGTGTCCTCATTCTCGTCTGTTTCCAGGAATCTTTTGATTTCTTCTTTAATTTCCTCTTTAACCCACTACTTGTTCAGTAATGAACTGTTTAATTTCCTGGTGTTTTCTTTGGTTCTCTGATTCTGTGTGTGATTAACTTCAATTTTAAGTGCATTATGGTCTGAAAATATAGTTTATGCCATTTCCATCTTCATGATCTTATAGAGTCATGTTTTGTGGCATAACATGTCATTTATCTTGGAGAATGTCCCATGTGCACTGGAGAAGAACGAATATTCGGATATGGGGGGATTAAAAGTCTGTATATATCAACTAGCCCTCTATCTTCCATTTCTTCCTTCAAAGCCAGTATTTCCTTGCTGAGTTTTAGTCTCATTGATCTATCAAGAGGTGACAAAGCGATGTTGAAGTCTCCAACTACTATTGTGTTGCTGTCAATATTCTCCTTGAATTATATTTGCAGTTATTTTAAACATTTTGCTGGCCTCTCATCAGGTGCATGTATATTTAGGAGTATAATTTCTTCCTGGTGTACATATCCCTTGATTATATAAGAAATGGCCTTGACACTGGAAGAGTCACGGCCTTGGCCTTTCCAAACTGTTGGTGGGGGTTAGCAGAGATCCAGGGGTTTGAATCCCACATGGTTACCTCCTAGAAATTCACCCAGAGTCTGCATCTCCTTCTATCACAAGTGATTCCCGGGGCTGGAAAAGTCAAGATTGGTACATTTTAATACATTTTAATAAAATATTTATGGTCTTTTAACAATTCTACTAAATTCAAAGATATTTTACTTCCTCTCTAATTTTGGGCATTATGGTTTGCATGCCTCAGAGTTCTTACATATGAGAGAACATACTTTGATTGCCTAATAACTATTTTATTATTTTAGGAAGAAAGTGGCATGGCAGGAGACTTTTCCTGGATATGGAATCTAGTCTACATATATACAACAATTCTTGCAGAAATTTGCTTATATGCAGCTACTTCTAATATGCAAAAAACTGCTCTTATTGGTTTCTGTGAATGTAAAAGATCCTCTCAGAAGATTTTAGTCCTGGAGAAATCAGAAGAGCCAGAATTAAGGAATACAAGTATTTTAGGTCTTTTGGATTATTTCTCATCAAAAATGTCAGATAACTGTAAGTGAATTATTTTTAACTTACAAAGAAATTGTTTTAAATATTCACATTTACATATAGCAATTACATATAGTAAAAAATTACAGATAGCAAAAAATAAACAGTAACAAGTCTCACAATGGAGACGTTACTGGGCCTACTCGATGAACAACGGGAGGAGAGTGCTACAGTGCTACATATAGCAATGATATTTTTATTAAAAAGTTAATGTTTATAACATGAGAAGACATTAATGTAGTACTGGAATAGCATTCATCCTGACCCTGTGATTCTTACTGGATAGCAAATTCTCTTCTGACCCATTCACGCATGGTGGGCTGTCATTTCCTGCTCATGAGTCAACATAAATGTGACCTTCTCCTCCCAAGTCAGATCAGTTTGTATTTGAACATTGAGAAATTCTTTATTTTTTAATTGTATTTTCAGGGACTAAGCTAAGGTGTCCTGCTGGAAAGCATGTACTTTGTCACTAGACCTAAACTCAGACCTTTTTTGTTCTAAAATGAAATCTTTTTCAACGCTTGATAACTTTGGGTTAAGTTTAACCTTCTGAAGGCAATAAAAAATGTCTACTTCATTTCCTATGTTCTAGTTTTTCAAACATTTGAGTATAATTAAATGGTTCTCTTTTAAAACCTCTGCACTCAACCATCAGCTTTCATTTCGGGTAGGATACTCTCGGTAGCTTGCCGGACTCTCCGAGAGGGACAGAGGAATCGAACCCCAGTCTGTAGCATGCAGGGCAAACGCCCTACTTGCTGTGCTATCACTCCAGCCCAACTTTGTATAATAAAAGGAAAACAAATTTTACATATATTATGATTCTTAAGTTTCTGGGAAGATTGTATTATTGTTAACACTGAAGTTTTAATAATATTTATTGATATTATAATGTGGTGTGAAGTTCTTGTGTGGGTTTCATTATTTTTCTATTCAATGCTTTCTACGAATGAAAAAAGTTAATGTTATGTTCTTATTTATTTATTTATTTGTTTATTTATTTATTTTGTACTGAATCATCGTGAGACACAACTACAAAGCTTTCATGGGTGAGTTTCAGTCATACAATGATTGAACACTCATCCCACCACTGGTATACGTTTTGTACCACCAATTTCTTCAGTATCCTTTCTGCCAACCACACCTCACACACACACATTGTCTTTCTGGCAGGCACTTTCCTTTTTAATTCCTCTCTACTTTTAGGCATTATGGTTTGCAATACAGAGACTGAGAGACTATCATGTTTGGTCCTTTATCTACTTTCAGCACACATCTTCCATCCTGAGTGATCCATCCAACATCATTGACTTAGTGATCCCTTCTCTATCACAGCTGCCTTCTCCCCAGCTTATGAGTTAGGCTTCCAACCATGAAGCAATCCTCGTAACCCTTGTCTCTAATGTCTGTGGGTGTTAGTCTCACACTCTTATTTTATATTCCACAAACAAGTTTGTCATTTTTAGTCTGTCCCTCTCTCTCTGACTTATTTCACTTAGCATGATATTGTCTACGTCCATTCACTTGTAGGCAAATTTTATGACTTCATCTTTTCTAACAGTTGAATAATATATCATTGTGTAGATGTACCAAAGTTTCTTTAACCAGTCATCTGTTCTCAGGCACTTGGGTTGTTTCCAGATTCTGGCCACTGTGAACAGTGCTGCAATGAAGATACAGGTGTAAATGTTATTTCTATTGTGCATTTTTTCACCCCTCGAATGTATTCTAATAAGTGATATTGCTGGGTCAGATGGAAGCTCAATCTATAGTTTTATTGGTAATTCCCATATTGTTTTCCAAAATGACTGAACCAGTCAGCATTCCCACTAAAAATGAATAGAGTCCCTTTCTCCCTGCATCCACATGAGCACTGGTTCTTGTTTATTTTGATGTGTCCCAGTGTCTGTGGTATAAGATGATATCCCATTGTTGTTTTGATTTGCATCTCCCTGATAATTAGGGATGTGGAGCATCTTTTAAAAAAATTTTATTAGTAAAACACCATGAGGTACAGTTGTAGACTTACAAGTTTTTGTGATTGAGTTTCAGTTATACAATGATCGAGTATACCCATCCCCCCCACCAGTGCCCATTCACCACTAATGATCCCAGTATCCCTCCCATTCCCCCACCCCCATCCCATCCCACCTCTTGGCAGGGCATTCCCTTTTGTTCTCTCTCTCCTTTTGCGTGCTGAGGTTTGCAAAAGAGGCATTCAGTGACGATCATGTTCGGTCTATAGTCTACTTTCAGCATGCATCTCCCATCCTGGGAGGATCCTCCCAATACCCTTTACTTGGTTTTCCCTTTTCTGTCTGAGCTGCCTTTTCCCCTAACATATGAGACTGGCCTTGAAGCCATGGAGTGAACCTCCTGCTACTTTTCTCAATTATTCTTGGATGTTAGTCTCCTATTTTGTTACTTTATATTCCCCAGATGAATGCAATCATTCTATGTCTGTCCCTCTCTTTCTGACTCATTTCACTTAGCATGATACTTTCCATGTTGTACCACTTGTATGTAAATTTCATGACTTCATCTTTTCTAAAAGCTGCATAGAACTCCATTGTGTAGAAGTACCAAAGTTTCTTTAACTAGTCATCTGTTCTTGGGCACTCAAGTTTTTTCCAGATTTTGGCTATCGTGAACATAGAAATGCAGAGGTCATTTCAACTATACATTTTTGCCTCTCCAGGATACATTCCCAGGAGTGGTATTCCTGGATCAAATGGGAACTCAATTTCTAATTTTTTAAGAATCTTCCATACTGTTTTACAAAAGGGCTGAACTAGTCGAAATTCCCATCAGCAGTGAAGGAGAGTCCCTTTCTCGCCACACCCACGCCAACACCGGTTACGTTTGTTCTTTTGAATGTGGGCCTGTGTTGTGAGATGATATCTCATTGTAGTTTTGATCTGTATCACTCTGATGATTAATGATTTAGAGCATCTTCTCATGTGCCTTTTAGCCATTCAGATTTCTTCTTTGAGAAAATTTCTGCTCATTTCATCACCCCATTTTCAAAAAATGGGTTTATATGTTTACAAAATTCAGATCAAAATGGATTAAAGATTTCAACATCAGGCCAAAATTCGTAAGGTACATTGAAGACAAGGTCGGCAAAACCCTCCATGATATTGAGGCTAATGGTATCTTCAAAGATGACACTCCACTGACCAAGCAAGTGGAAACAGACAAACAAATGGGACTACCTTAAATTAAGAATCTTCTGCACCTCAAAAGATACAGTGACCAGAATGCAAAGACAATCTACAGAATGGGAAAGGATATTCACCCAATATCCATGTGATAAGGGGTTGGTATCAAGGATATACAAAGCACTGGATGTGAAGAATTTTTTTATGTGCCTTTTAGTCATTTGTATTTCGTTTTTCTGGAAATTTCTGTTCATTTCCTCTCCCCAATTAATGAAAAGGTTGGAGAATTCTTCTTGTAATGTTTTACCTGCCCTGGATATTAGCCCTTTTTCTGATGCTTATTGGGTAAATAATTTTTCCCATTCTGTGAGTTCTCTCTGTATTTTGTCCACTATTTCTCTTGAGATTCAGGTTTCTTAGTTTAATATAGTCCCGTTTATGACTTGTTGGTCAGCAGTGTTTTATTCTTAAAGATGCCTTTAGCTTCAATGTCGTGGTGGGTTCTTCCTATGTTTTCCTCCATGTACCTTATGGATTCAGGTCTAATACTGAGGTCTTTAATCCATAATTTTTCTTTTTGGGTCACACCTGGCAATGCTAAGGGGTTACCCCTGGCTCTACACTCAGGAATTACTCTTTTCTGTGCTTGGGAGACCATATGTGATGCTAGAAATGGCACCTGGTTTGGCCACCTGCAAGGCAAAAACCCTACCCACTGTGCTATCGCTCCAACCCCTTTAATCCATTTTGAACTGACTTTTGTGCCTTGCATTAGAGAGAGATCTGAGTTCAGTTTTTTGAAGGTAGTTGTACAGTTTTCCCAGCACCACTTGGTGAAGAGATTTTCCTTGTTCAACATCACCTTTCTTGTTTCTTTATCAAAGATTAAGGGATCATATATTTGAGGGTCTGTGCCAGTGTATTCAACTCTATTCCATGGTGCAAGTCTATCTCTATTTCAATACCAATCTGTTTTTATTAGTACCACTTTATAGTGTAGTTTGAAGTTTGGGAAAGTGATGCTACCCATCTTCTTTTCCCAAGAATTGCTTTAGCTACTTGTGCGAGTTTATTGTTCCATATGAATTTCAAGAGTGTTTTATCTATTTCTTTGAAAAATGTCATGGATATCCTTATAGGGACCACACTGAATTGCACAATGCTCTGGGGAGAATTGCCATTTTGACAATGTTAATCTTTCCAATCTTTGAGGGCATGTGTCTCCAAATGTTATATTCTACTTATTATTTTGCTGAGAATTATTTTTTCACATTGTTTCCACAATTATTCTAGTGAAGAAATATATCATACTTATAAAATTAACCGTGTGTATTTAATTTTGATTCATTAGAAAAACAGCACAGAGAAATAATTGTTTTCAAAATGTGAAAATTATTTGAAATCTTAGAACATTTGAAACTTTTAATTGCAGTATATTAACTCTTTAATATACTGTTTACTTTTGTTAAGGTCATTCAGAAGTATTCAGAAATAATGTTGCAAGTAGCAAACCAAAAAACATATTTTACATTTCACATACACGCACAGCAGAGCCTGGCAAGCTACCCGTGACGTATTCGATATGCCAAACACAGTAACAAGTCTCATGATGGAGACGTTACTGGGCCCGCTCAAGCAAATCAGTGAACGACGGGAGGACCATGACCGTGATACACATAATAACACAATAAAGACAATCCTTATAATATATAATCCTTATAATAACAATATAATAATATATTGTTAACAAATATAAAGGATTAATATCACTGATTGTGTACTATGTACATGAACACGTTAGTCAAATATATATTTGTGTATATTTTAAAAATTATTTTA